CAATCTTTAACTCCTGGGCTCAAGTGAGTCTCCTGCCTCTGCCTCCCAAGTAGCTGGGACCACAGGTGCCTGCCACAATGCCTGGCTATTTTTATTTATTTATTTACTTTTTGGTTGCAGCCCTCATTGTCGTTTGGCAGCCCAGGCTGGATTCGAACCCGCCAAATTAGGTGTATGTGGCTGACGTCTTAGCCATGTGAGCCACAGGCGCCGAGCCTTCAGTTACTTTCTTACACGAGTGACACCAAGCTCTTGCCATGTCTGACCCTTCACACCATCTTCATCAAATATTTATGGAACTTCTGCTGTGACCCAGAGCTTAGGCTAAAGGCTCATGTATTTATATGTAACATATCATGTGTATATTACTGATTATGAGTAATATTTATAATACAATCATATAGTATCTGGTCTATATTATAAATATATTTTATATTCATTTATATTATATGTTATTATAATACTGACATTGCCTATTATTATATAAAAGCTTTATATTACAGTCCAGGTGCACTGGCTCATATCTATAATCCTAACACAGGAGTTTGAGACCAGCCTGAACAAGAGTGAGACCCCGTCTCTACTAAAAATAGAAAAACTGGCTGGTGCCTGTAGTCTCAGTTACTCAGAGGCTAAGGCAAGAGGAGTAAGAGCTCTTAAGCTCAGGAGTTTGAGGTTGCTGTGAACTATGACACCACAGCACTCTACCCCAGGTAACAGAGTGAGACTCTATCTCAATTAAAACAAACAAACAAAAAAGCTTTACAAGACATAATTATAAAAGGGAGTTTACCTAACAAATGCAATCAGTGTAACCTGGTTTCTTGTACCCTCAATGAATCCCCAATAATAAAAAATTTTTTAAAAAACAAACAAGCAAAAAAAGCTTCATATTATTACAGCCCTCTCAGCCCTGTTGGAATGACAGGAGTGGTTACCTCTGTTATCCCCATATCACACATATAGAAACGGAGGCTCAGAGATGCTAGATCAGTTGGCCAAGGCTCCTCATCTAGTAAGTGGTAGAGCCAGGATTCAAGCCTGGTTTCTCTGGCCCCAAGCATCCCTCAGTAAGAGTAACACTTAGTCATTAGTTTCTTGATGATCCACACTAATTGCCAACATCGTGAATTTGATGTTGACCTTGAGCCAATCACCATGCTAAGCAGTTTATATAGGTTATGCCTCACAACAAGCCTAGAAAGTTGATCCTCCTGTGGCATTTGAAAGATGAAAAAACTGAGGGTAATAGCTGGCGAGATTGGAAGTGGCACTTGAATCTGAGTCCTGCAGACTTCTTACTCATGACCTTGCCGGGTATCAGCAGCTCTGAAAGTGACTCAGGGCCCAAGGCATTGGGGCAGAAATCTAGTTCCTGGTACAACCTTCTCTCCTGCTCTCTTTCTAGGCTCAAGGGGAAAATCCATGAGACCAACCTCACCTATGAAGACTTCCCAACCTCCAAGTACACAGGCCCCCTGCAGTACACCATCTGGAAGTCCCTTTTCCAGGACATCCACCCAGGTAAGACATGGACTGTCATAGGCCAGAGGTAGGTGAGGCATGGCCCAGCCCAGCCCTGCCCCCTGCCCTAAACATGGCAGGACAGCATGGGGAGGTGAGCAGTATGCCCTGCTGAGCACCCTTTGTGTTCCAGGGTCTATGCTAAGCACCTGCACAATCACTCAGCTCAGTGAATTCTCATAAAACTCCATGAGGTTGGTTCCATTACTGTACCCACTCTCCAGATGAGGAGACTGAGGCCCTGGGCACTTCACTGGCTCATTTTCTATGTACGGCATATAAGCACTTAACTCATACAGGCATGATTCTGTGTGTTCGAGATATAGCAGTGAACAAGACAGGAAAAAAAAAAGTCCCTGCCCTGATGAAACTTACATGCTAGAGTGTGAAAAAGAAAGTAAACAAAAGTACACAAGTAAAGTCCATAGTACATTAGATACTGAGAACGGATGAGGAAAGGGAGCCAGGGCACGTTGGTACAAGACAGATTTTACATACAGGATCCAGGAAGAGGGCACACTGAGAAGAAGCACCAAAGACCTAAAGGAGAGTGCACTATGTAGATACTTGAGGGAAAAGTGTCCTGGCATGAGAATAGCATGTGCAAAGGCCCTGAGGCAGGAGCATGTCTGGCATGTTTAAGGAACAGCAGGAAGGCCCAGTGTGGCTGTAGTGGAATGAGTGAGAAGGAGAGTAGAGATGACGAGGTCAGGAGGCAGCAGTGGCCAGACTGAGGGCCTGTAGGCTGCTGTGAGAACTTTGGTTCTGATGCAGAGCAAGATGAGAGTCATTGGAGAGCTGGGGAAGTGGAGTGATAGGAGCTGTCTTAGGTTTTTAGGGGATCCCTCAGGCCAGTGGGTTGAGAATAGACTGAAGGGGGTGAAGGGTGGCGGCCGGAAACAAGCTAGGAGAGCATTATCCAGGGAGAAGTGATAGAGATAGGGAGCCAGAGGGTGGGAGTGGAGGTGGTGAGAAGGGGTCAGATTTAGGATATATTTTGAAGGTACAGGCAGCAAAATTTGCTAAGAGATTGGATTTCAGGTGTGAGAAAAGAAGGCAAAGAACGGGTACAGTGAACACTATCTGAGTGATGGACACTCTTAGCCCTGACGTAAGCATTGCTAAAATGATCCATGTGAACAAAAACACTTCTGCCCCCATAAAATTTTAAAATTTAAGAAAAAAGTTTTTTGGGGGTTTTTTTGGTTTGTTTTGTTTGTTAGTGAAGGAAAGGAAGATAAGAAGGATTTTGGCCGAGGTGACTGGAGGTGTCTGTGAGGTTTGTGATGCTGATTGGCTGTCTCAGAGCTGATGTTGAATGAACTGTGGTTGGGATGACAAGTCTGCAGCACAGGAAAAAGGTCAGGGCCAGTGTCCTTAACATATGCACCGTATTTAGTGAGCCTGGGTGAGGTCATCTAGCAAGGAGTATAGATGGAAAGGAGAGAGGGCCACTCTAAAATCTGGAGCCTTGGGCCACTTCTAGAAGTCAGGGGCAGGAGGAGAGCTGGGCGTGTCCTGGAAGCTGCACGGAAGACCCATTTCCAGGAGGACAGAGTGGTTAATAATAGTGGCAAAGGCTGTGGAGCCAGGTGTGGGAGAACCCAGAATGTTGCTCTTAGCAACATAGAAGGCATGGGCGGCCTTGAGAAGAGCTGTTTTGGTGAAGTGATAGGGGTAAAAGCCTATTGGAGCCCATTAGGGAGAGAGGGGAGGCAGTGGGTGGAAACGGTGCTTTCAAGGAGTTTTACTTGAAGGCAGTGAATGCAGCAGCAGCTGTTTGGGGTTTTTTTTTGTTTTTAGATAGAAAAACTGCAGTAGATTGGTGGACTAATAGAAAGATGCAATAAAGAAGGCAGAGTTGAGGATAAAGGAGAGAGACTTGCAAAAGTGACACCCTTAACAGCTGCCCACAAGTGGGATCTGCCTCATGGCTGAAGGACAGTCATAGAGTAAGTGGGCACTGAAGCAGGGGGGCTGTGGTCAGAACTTGAATTCTCTTCTGCTGGCTGCATCCTCCCCAGGGAGGGGGAAGTGAGGTGATCAGCTGAGAAGGGGAGGAGCTGATGGGAGGTTTACAGAGAGAGGAGATGGTCTGAAACAGGTAGAGTTAGCAGGTTCTGGGACTGAGAGGTCAATGCCTTCCCCCAAATCACACAGCCCTCAAGGGCAAGCTGACTGGCAACCTTGTATGGTCCCAAAACACTTGAAAGGAGAGACCGGATATAGGAGGGGATTCTCCCTGACAGGTAGGCACAGTTATCATATTATTTTTTTCAGATGAAGAAATTGAGGCATACTGCTATTAAGGACTTGTCCTTGGTCACGGCCTGTAAATGGTACAGCCAAGATTTAAACCCCAGTGTCAGATCCCGGAGCCTGTATCCTCACCTACTAAACTAACTGGCCATTTTCTGGCCTCCTACATACCAGGAAGGCAGCTGGGGAGAGAGGCTCAGAGAGGCTCACTGACATACTAAGGTCACATAGAAGTTCTTTCCACCTGTCTAGATTCATTCTTCTACCCTACAAACATTAACAGTCCCTTGAAGGCACTCTCAGGAGTCAGGGAAGCCAGACCCTGACAGTCCAGTGGGACTGAGGGATGTGTGATGAGGGATTTACAACAGGGGAGTCCAGAAAGAGCAACAGGAGGCTCAGAACAGGGCAGGAGGAAGGGCAGAGAAGGCACAGAACAGACCATGTTTGAACTGAAGGCTGGGTCAGGGAATGAGACAGCCTGACAAACCTCAGCAGGAAGGACAGGATACTCCCAGCAGGTCAGGGATTGTGCCCTCTGGGTGGGGATGGAGAGGAACTTGGGCTCCTCTGTGGATGATGAAGGCCTCATTTGATAAGTCACTTCTCATTTCTTAGAAGTAAAGGACGCCTGCTATTTCTCTTAAACCTGGTCTTATGCCCTCATTGACAGGGGGCCCGAGTTGGGAGAAGGACCCATTTTCCTAGAGTGGGTGGTAGCTCTAGGCTGTCCTCCTGAGGTGGGGGTCTCTGTGTGCTCTCAGCCTTGGAGGGACTTCCACCCTAGGACCCAGCAGGGAGAAGGTCATAATTCCAGGAGGCAAGGAGCACATTCAACGCTCCTCTTCCTTCCTCAGCCACTGACCCAAAGGAGCTCCTCAGACAGGTGGTTGAGGGAACTCTCTTTGTTCAGAGAGGCAGTTTAGGCACCTCAGCCTGGCATTCAATGCCCTACAAGATCTGGTCCTTCCCAATATCTCATTCTCTCCTTCGCATCATACTCAGCTACAGTGAACCATCTTTAGGTCTTAAATGAGCCTCACTTTTGCTGTTCCCTGTGCCTGGAGTCCTCTGCATAATGCTCAATCTTTGATAGCCAACTCCTCCTCTGCTTCATGGCTTAGTTTATAAACACCTCCTCTGAGAAGTCTTCTTGGATTTCTCCAGGCAGCCGAAGGCTTTCCTGGTCTCAATCTTTTGTAATTATTTTTGTGGCTATCTCTCTCACTGGTCTGTGAGCTCAGACAGGTCAGGGACCAGGTCTGATTCATCCGCAGCAGGCAGCACAGTAAATGTTCATTGATGGGTGAAGAAATGAATGAGTCCCTGCTGTTGGAGTAGTGCCTAGCATACAGCAGGTACTCAATAAATATTTGTGAAGGAAAGAACTTGCTGCACAGCCTTGGACAAGTCACATCCTCTGAGCCTCAGTTTCCTTCTCTGTAAAACAGGAATGCTAGAATCTCCTTCTTGACCCCCTCACGGGTGAGCAGATGGGGGTGGGACCTTGCCCCAGGGCAGGGATCCTGCCCTCAGCACTGTTGAAACCTGAGGCCAGATAATTCCTTGTTCGTGTCTAGAAGCATCCCTGTTCTCCACCAGATGTTAGTAGCCACTCTTCTCAGCTGTAACAAACAAAAATGTCTCTGGACATTGCCAGATGTTCCCTGAGAGCAAAATTGCCCCAGTTGAAAACCACTGCCCCAGAAAAAGTGGCCTACAGGAGAGGGGTAGCTAGTAGCTGAGAGCGAGAGAGCGGAGGCCCCTGGGGAGTTCAGAGAACAGCGACCTGGTTGGCTGGGCCCCTTCCTTTGTCTGTGGGGCCTGTGAAGTCACTCTGGCTCCTCTGCCAGCACCAAAGCCCTTTATGTCCGGATGGGAGGGGTGCCCCCAGAGACCTAGCCCATGGATTCCAGCAGCTTCCTGCCTGCCCCTCCCCTCCGGCTCATGCTTCCTATTAGGTCACCTGAGAACCCTATCTTGCCCCTATCATTCCCCTGCTCTGGAGCTTCCACTACTACCCACCTTCGCCCCCCCCACCCCACCTGAGCCTAACTTCAGAAATCCCTCCTCCAGTATACTCTCCTACCCACCTGGGCTGAATTCCGAGCTCGGAGGCACAAACTGCCTCCCCAGCCAGGCCAGGCAGCCCATTGTCCGAAGAACACCAGATACTGCCTCCTCCCTCCTACAGCTCCCCCTTACCTGAATCTAATCAAGTTGAGTCCCAGCACAGTCACTGCCTGGCTGTGTGACCCCAGGCAAAGCTTTCCCCTCCCTGAGCCTCAGTATCCTCGTCTATAAAACGGGGCTAGTCACCTTGATCTCCCAGGGTAGGTATGAGAATTAAAGTATTTATTCGGGATAACAGTCCCATGACTTAGTAAGTATGTGATACCTGTTTGTAATTGTTGTTATTATCGTGAATCATCAGATGGTTCCTCAGTTTGCTGCATAGACTTTCTGGGACCACACAATGAAAAAGATACGATGTGAAAAGACTTCAGCTTAAGTTCCCACTCTGCTTCTCCCCGTAAGTGGCAATAGGAACAAGCTGCTTAACTCAGAGAGGTCTCCTTGGAGCCTCACTCTCCTCGTCTGGAAAATGGGCATAGTAATTGGTGTTCCCATGAGCTAGTGGGTGAGAGAATGTTTTGTAGAAGCCTGCCCTGGGCCCCAAGGGCCTGAGTAGTGGGAGGCCTGAGGGACCAGTATTTTAAAGGCCCAGCCAGAGGTAAGAGCTGATGGCTTTTCCTGTCCTGTCAGCTTGAAATCTGCTGTCTCTGAGAACAAAGAAACTACTGGCTGCCACAGGAAGGTGCTGGGCTGTGCCCTAGAGGGTTTTTTTCTGCTGCTTGGGCCGCTTGCAGAGTGTGGTTGACGGATAGGTGGCTGGAACACATTTCCTGAGACCTCCACAGTTCATGGTCCTTCCTGAGTGTCTTTGACCTTGAGGTCTCCGAAAGGCTTAAATGGATGGAGAACACACCTGGAGACCAGACAGGCTGCCTCAGTGCCTGGCTTTTTGTTTTTATAAAACTCATAGTATCCTGGGACCTAGAATTGAGCTCCGACCTTAAAGCAATGAGCCCCAGGGAACTGCCTTTGTTTTGCTGGGTCCGTCACCTCTCCTGAGGATAAAGGCTGGATGGAGGGATTACCTGTCCTTACACAAGGACTGACTTCTCAAAGGAGGAAAGGGTGTTGCCATGCCCCCCTCCTGGTCTCCTGGTCTGAAGCGTGTTACTCCTGCCAGCCCCAGCCTCAGAGAGGGCAGGAGACAGGGAGGGTGGCCAGGGAGACAGGATTGTCTGTTAATGAGGAGGAGGAGGGCTGGAGGTGGGCCTCAGCCAGGGTGCTGGGCTCTGCCCTAGCCTCACCCCTTGGACTATACAAGCCTCCTAAGAGGCCACGCTTCCTGCCTAAGGAGAGTGCCAAGCCTTACCCCTAAGCCTGCCCCCAAGTGATAGGTGCTGACCCCATACAGCACCCTGGACTTCTACACACAGAAGCTGGCACTCTGTGTGGTCAGGATCTCCCCTGTCTTGCAGACTCCTCTCTATCCACTCAGCCTCAGAATTACCCAGAGGCCCCTTGGCTGCTTCCTAGAGTGCCCTCCTGCTCCTCGGTGGCACTGAAGTGGCCCACCTGGCCCAGCATAGGCTTAGGCTGAGGCTGAGCCCCTCACTCCCTGCTCAGTCCTTTTGCCCTGAGCTTCAGTTTCTGCCTGTTCCTGGTCCACAAGGCCCAGGTCCCCCCTGGCACTCAGAACAGCTACCAGAAGGAAATTATTTATAAGACATTCCTTAAGCCGATGCGTAGATACTCACTCCCGCCTGGACACAGGCCTGCTCTACCCCTTTCCCTCTACTGTTGACCCATTCCCCACCGCAGGGGCAGCCCCCTGTATCTGATTAGGTTCTTCTCTCCCTAGCTGTTCCTCCACACCCACACTCCACACCCCACACACCCCTAACCCCACCCTGCCATGGGAATTCCCCACATTCCCCGGGGCAGGAGCTTTCTGGTTCTGACTTGCACCCTCTGACCCGTCAGACTGCAAGGTGAAGCATCTACCCCCAGACTTGGTGTCTCTCTCCTCACAGGCTCCCTCCTTCATGGCCCCGGACAGAGGGTCGTGTTTCCATTGACCCCTGTATTCACAGAGCTAATTGTTTCCATACAGCCTCTGAGTCTAAGGACAGGGAAAAGAACGTGGAAAATGCAAAACTAAACTCACTTCTGACAGAGATCATGGAAGGAGCTTGACAGGTCGGCGGTCAGCTTTGTCAGGGGTGTAGGAACAGAAGCACGGCTCAGGGATTGGCTATTGCTGCCTGAGGGTGGACAGTCACCACCATTGAGGCATCTTATTTCTGTGTAGCCAACAGAGCTCCGGCCAAACATAATCCTGTTCCTGGCCTACCAGAGAAGGAAATAGCAGAGAACTGGCTGCAGAAGTCCTTCCCTCTGAGGAACTAGAGGCCACTTCTTTCTTCCCACTTTTCCTCACCTCCATCTTGTTTTCTGTTTTGTTTTGTTTTTTTGAGACAATCTCAAGCTGTCGCCCTGGATAGAGTACCATGGCATCATAACTCACAGCAACCTCCAACTCTTGGGCTCAAGTGATCCTCTTGCCTCCATTTTTCTATTTTTCGGAGAGAGAGGGTCTTGCTTTTGCTCAGGCTGGTCTTGAACTCGTGAGCTCAAGTAATCCACCCGCCTCGGCCTCCCAGACTTGTACCCTGTGACCCAGAGTGCTACGATTACAGGGTGAGCCACTGTGCCCAGCCTCACCTCCATCTTGTTCTGGCCTAGAGCTGATTGTCCAGGCCAAGAAGAGCCAATCTAGGTTCCCCTCCTCCTCTGACTGGTCATCAGGTCCCTCAGGGAGGAAACAGGAAGCAGAGGTCTTGACGAGAGAGGTCAGGAGATTTTTACAGCTGGACCTGCTAAGCCGGTGTGGCCAGCCTGTGCCACCTGACTGACACAAATGGAGTCAGTTGAACTTGTTTAGTGTTTCTGGATGCCTGCCTCATGCCAGGCCCTGTGCTGGGCCCCAGATACACAGGACAGACCTCATTAGATGGTCTACCTGCCCTGCCCTCCTGGGGAGGGCACACATAAGGTGTAACGTGAGCACAGAACACTGTATGCTATTCTCATGCTGGTTGACAGGGCACAAACAAAGTTAAAGAATTTAGGGCGGCGCCTGTGGCTCAAAGGAGTAGGGCACCAGCACCATATACCAGAGGTGGTGGGTTCAAACCCAGCCTCGGCCAAAAACTGCAAAAAAAAAAGAATTTCATAGGCAAGAGTGAGCATACGTGCTGGGTGACTGCGAAGGCTTTCCCTTTGAATCGAGCCTCGTGGCTGTGGTTGCAACAAGCAGAAAGGTGGCCTAGGGAGCACTGTGAACAGGGGCTTTTTTCATGGGCCTGAGGAGGGCAGCCATGAAGGTAGGCTGAGGCTAGATTTCACATGGCCTTGGTTAGTCCTCACCCAGCCAGTATTTGCTTGGTTACCTGAGACTAGTCATGTTTCCTCTCTGGGTCTCAGTTTCACAATCTGTCAAATGGAAGTGTTGGCCTAGAGTTAGTGTTTTTCAACCTTTTCAGACCCATTGTCTACTTGTCATAACAAACGATTTGAAACATCTCAAAGATAATAGTATAATCTTTCACAATTTCAAATATAATCTTTTCTCAATTTCAAGTGTGATACGTGTATATGTACGTACACACACACACACTCTGGCTATGCTATGAACAAAAAGTAGATACTTTTTATTTACAATAAAACATTTCTTATGCCGATATGTAGATACTCTCAGCCACACCAGAAAACATAATGAAGTAGCCAGGGGTTCTTGTTACAGGTTGGCACCATTCCTCCCCCTGTGATTCTGTACAGGTAGACTGTATCAATCAGTGGTGTTGCCCTCAGAGATGTATTTTCCAAAACAGCAAACAATTCTTAGTGAAGTTCCAAACAAAACTTGCCTCACTTTACATGATAGCATTCTAAACTATGGAGTATATATTAAAACTGCAAAAACTATTTCATGTTCATACATAAAATGGAGTTAGTTTTTAGCTTCAAATCATCATAAAAAAAAGATCATGGCCTCAGCACCTGTGGCTCAAGTGGCTAAGGTGCCAGCCACGTACACCCAAGGTGGCGGATTCAAATCCAACCTGGGCCTGCCAAACAACAATGATGACGGCTGCAGCCAAAAAATAGCCAGGTGTTGTGGCAGGCGCCTGTGGTCCCACCTACTTGGGAGGCTGAGGCAGGAGACTCGCTTGAGCCCAGGAGTTGGAGGTTGCTGTGAGCTGTGATGCCACAGCACTCTACTCAGTGGGACAGCTTGAGGCTCCTGTCTCAAAAAAAAAAAGATCCAAGCAAATGTGTGAAATATTTGAAAATCCCTGGGGGTGGTGGAGGGGTGGGACAGAAACCCCAGCTACTTGGGAGGCTGAGGCAAGAGGATTTCTTGAGCCTATGAGTTTGAGGTTGCTGTGAGCTATGACATCACAGTACTCAACCCCAGGGTAACAGAGTGAGACTCTGTCTCAAAAAAAAAAAAAAAAAAAAGACTATCCTATACACTTCCTTCAGCATCTGTAGCATACCTGGATCCCTCCCATCATTGAGAGAATCCCAACACCCCCACAAATTTCCAGATCATCTCCTACCAGGCAGTAGCAGTTGGACAATCTTTAAGCTCCTTCCCAGCTTGAAAAATCTCTAATCTGAACCTCATTCTAGTTAACTGAGTGTACGTTTGTGAGTGCCCACTAATGTGCCTTGCCATGGGCATCACTCAGACAATGAACAAGCAGCTGTAGCCCCTGCTCTCCTGTAGCCAAGTTTAAAGCTGGAAGGACCTCAGCCATCACCCTTCCCTTATACAGAGGAGGAAGAGGAGGCCCAGAGAGGTGGGCTTGTATTCAGGGTCACATGGCAGGCAATAGCCTCCTGAGCACCAAGCAGAGCCCTGCCCTCAGCGAGGCACTGCCCCCCGGGTGCACAGGCTTCTCTCTCCTCATCTTCTGTCCCTCTTCTGCCCCTGTAGTGCCAGCCGCGCTGACCCTGGACCCAGGCACTGCCCACCAGCGCCTGATCCTGTCGGATGACTGCACCATTGTGGCTTATGGCAACCTGCACCCACAGCCACTGCAGGACTCGCCCAAGCGCTTCGACGTGGAGGTGTCGGTCCTGGGCTCTGAAGCGTTCAGTAGCGGCGTCCACTACTGGGAGGTGGTGGTGGCGGAGAAGACTCAGTGGGTGATCGGGCTGGCACATGAAGCCGCGAGTCGCAAGGGCAGCATCCAGATCCAGCCCAGCCGCGGCTTCTACTGCATCGTCATGCACGACGGGAACCAGTACAGCGCCTGCACGGAGCCCTGGACGCGGCTTAACGTCCGGGACAGGCTTGACAAGGTGGGCGTCTTCCTGGACTACGACCAAGGCCTGCTCATCTTCTACAACGCCGATGACATGTCCTGGCTGTACACCTTCCGCGAGAAGTTCCCAGGCAAGCTGTGCTCCTACTTCAGCCCTGGCCAGAGCCACGCCAACGGCAAGAACGTCCAGCCGCTGCGGATCAACACTGTCCGAATCTAGTCCAGGCGCAGAGAACACACTGCCACCAGCGAGAGCCCTGCCCGGGAGACGGGAGACCGGGACTCTGGCCCAGGCTGGCCACTCTGAGGCCCGGGGCCAGTTGTTCACTCGTCAGCCTCCATTTCCCTGTCTGTAAGATGGAGTTTGTGCCCCTTGATTCCTGAACTGTCTTCCAGTATTGGTGTCCTGGAGCTATGACCTTGATGGGGATACAGTTTTAGTTCAAGGATGTGACATGGCTTCTCCTCAGGGCAGCCCTGCCTGACCTCATCCCCATCCTCTCAGGGGAAGGGGACAACTTCCCTGTGTCTCTCTCCCGCCCAGGTGCCCTCAGGAAGTGTCACAGTGTGGCCAGTGGTGGGCAGTCTAGAAAATCCAAAGAGCCCTCTCATGCCCCATGGCCTAAGACCTACATCTGCCTGAACTAGCGATGGGTCCCTTTAACTCTCGGCCCCAACCCACAATGGACACAGATGTAGCTGCTCCTACAGCTGTCTGGGAACCCCGCTCTCCAGCCACCCCATCCCAAGAACTTTTCCCACAAATCTGCAAGTCAGTGGTGGTGCCGCGGCCTGTGGAAGGCAGCCGGTAGTCAGGCCTAGGTGTTGCAGTCACTGTGCCACCACCTCCTGCCCACAGACCTAAGGTCAGGATGAGGGGACACCTGAGGCTGATGCAGAGCCCATCAGCCTAAAGCCACCTGCAGAACAATCTCACTGGGTGATCAAGGTCCCCAAAAGCTCTGGACAAGGGTCCAGCTGCTGATGCAGAGCCCATCAACCTGAAGCCACCTGCAGAACAATCTCACTGCGTGATTAAGGTCCCCAGAAGCTGCAAACAAGGGTCCAGCTGGCCCTCATCAGCCAGGCCTCATGACCTCCCAGGGTATGGGAAGGCTTCTGGGAACAGTTATAATTAGGACCAAAGTCCTGGGAGAGACTGTTGGCTGGGACCCCTTGTCGGACTTGGCATCCATCTCAGTTAGGATCTTGTTGCAGAAAGCAAGAGCTACGTTAGCTGACTTAATTAGACAAGGATTTATTACCTGGTCCCCAGTGGCTTGCAAAATCCTTAGAAGGGCTGGAAGAGCAGACTCTGCTGAATTTCCAAGAACAGCTCCCAGCCACCAAATTCATCATGTCTGTTGTGACTGGGAAGGCTGCTCCCATCTGCAGGAAGCCCCTGCGTCAGAGAGCTGCTGACCATGGAACTATGCTCCCTCTGCCCCATCCGTGGCAGCAGATAGATGTCCTGGGACCTGCCTGTCTCCCACTTAACTTCGTGCCCAAAGCCAAATCTCTACGAGAAATTCTGTTAGGGGAAACTTGACTCAGATCCAGAGCCTTGGCTACAGGGGAGTCTGGGAAATGTAATTTTCACCTTTCCAGCATCAATCATACAAAAAGGCCCATGAGAAGAAAGGTAGGATGGATGTTTACAAAGCCTATCTGAATTTGTTAGCACAGAAACAACTGTGGAAAACTCAGGACAGAGTGGAGAAGCAGCAGAGTCTCAAGGTGTCCTGCCCTGTGGCTCTGTCCCTGCTCAGAGGCAAGAACCCAAGGAGTGGATAGCAAGATGAAGCCAAATGTCTCCCCTGTGGCTTTTCCTTCTAGTCATGGGGCCTCTGAATACACCATTCTGAAGGAGTGAGAATGGCTGAACTTGGGGATCTCACAACTGCTGCCTACCAGGGCCTCCCTGAGCAAGAGGAATCCTCAGTCCCCACCCTACCCCTTCAACTACCAGAATCTGGACCACCCCAGCAGTATTTTTATTTGAAATGTTTTCCATTTTGTGAGTTATGATCAATTTGTATTAAATTAAAGGTACAGGATATCAGTTGTCATTTCCTTTCATTTTGACAAACACGAAGGCCACCCACTCTGTCCTAGGCAGTGTACCCATGTGAGCGTGGCTGCTCCACAAAGCAGCCCTCCTGGGTGAAATGTGGTGTGCTTATCTTACAGGGGAGGAGAAATGAGTTTCAGAGAGAGGACATGATGCACCTGGGTCCCATGTCCCACATTGGTAAATGCCACACCACGACTCTGTCTAGTGCAGCCTGGGAGGACTGTCAGTCCTTGTCTTGGGAACATGTAGAGGGGTGCCCACGGTTATGGTGGCAAGAGCCTAGTCTCTGGAACCACAGATGTGGACTCGAGTCCACACTTCATCACTGAGTGACTAGAAAAATAACTTAATCTCTCTGGACCTCAGTTTTTCCATATGAAAAATGGGGACAATAACACCAATTTCACATGATTTATTGGAAAGCTGTCAAGTGGGGTGCACTGAGGGAGGCCCTTCCTCTGCCTCTGGCTGTTCCCCAGTGTCAGTGCCTGGAGCCTTGTGAATTCCTTGCACCTCTGGCTCTGACCTGAGTCTCTCTTCCTCCTTGTGCCCTGGGAGAGGTATGGGACCATCCAGGCCAAGGAAGTCCCCAGGTCTGTCATGTAGAAGGAGATCCACCCCACCTCTGACTGAAGGGGCCGGGAGTCTTTGGGGCCCTGCACATGCACACACTGGTTGTGCGCACTCAGGGGAAAAGGCCTGGGCTTCTGCAGTTGTGCAGCACCACAGCCTTGGAAACAGGAGTCTGGGGCTTCATCTGGGCTTTCCCTCGGTCCCTTCACCTGCAGGGTGGAGACAGGACAGGATGCTCTGGGTGGATCTTCACCTCTAGCCTGGAAGTGGGGAGAAGGAAGCAGGAACCACCAGGTCATGACTTGCTTGGGTTTCTAGGAAGAAGGATGTAAATGAGGGGGGAGGGGCTGTTGGGGGCTGGGCAGGTTCACAACTAGCTGTGGGGGTAATTCTGAGGCTAGAGTGTCTGATCTCCAGTTCCCTCAGATCCCTGTGACTCCCCTAAATGATGCCCTTGCCTTGGCTTATTGTTGGTCTTCACCCTGCTTTCTCCCCCTGAAGTAGGAGCAGCCCTCACAGCCCCTCTCACCCTGTCCCCCACTCACCCTCAGGACTCTTGGAAATTAGGGTGCTTCCAAGAGGTATTAATATATTTGCATATGTGTCCAGAAAATTCCTTAAAGAAGAAACTGGGGTCAGGCCTACACCAGGAACTCCACAGTTCACCCCACAGTTTAGGGAAAAGCAGGAACGAAAGCAGCCCAGCTTTGGGACCCAGAGCTGGGAAAAATCAAGTGAATAGCCATAATCATACTAGAAGGCCCCATCTGTGAACAGCAAGCTAAGTGCTGGTACTTCTTCCCCCTCCCCTAACCACCCTGACAAGCCCATGCGGTTGTTATCTCTGTGCCTGTGTTGGTGCAGGGAACATTACATCCCAGAGGACCAGAGGCCAGTGCTCTGCAAAGCTGAAAATCAGACCAAGGCCATTCAAAGCAAAAGCCAACCCCCTTGCTGGACCTCTCTGGAAATGCTTCTCAGCTCTGAGGATGGCTTTCATGGGCAGGCAGCAGCCATGGAGCTGTGCCCCTCCCCCAGATTCACAGTGGGGGCTCAAGCCAGACTGTGAGCCAGGTCAAGCTCAAACTTCATGTGTCTCCTGGGACCAGTACATTTTGAAGGCCCTATGTGACCTGGAGCACCTCTCTCTCCTTGCCTGGTCCTCAGTTCCCCCCCTCTACTGGGGAGGGGTTAGGGATCTAGTTAATTGATTGCCAGTTTCCCAATTCTGACAGTGCAGGATTCTGTAAGTCTAATGTTGGGTTCCACGGCTTGCCCTGCTCAGCACCTAATAAGTCCATAACCTTCTCTCTGGGGTGACAGCAGGGACAGAAAACAACAGAGATAAGGCCTCTTGGCAACACAGAGCTTGACTCAGGGTCTCTGGGGACAGGCCTTCCCTCCTGCCAGGGAGGCCATCCCAGGAGGCTGACTGCTCACAAAGGGTAGCACTGCCTATTCCTCCCCTCCAGCTTGGGTCCCGGCTCTGTCCACCACCCACAAGCACACCATCAGGAGGTCAGTTACAGAGGCCCTTGTCACAGGCTTACATGCAGAGGTTGGGGGAAGGTGGGAAGTGGGAGAGGGAGGTGGAGTACTAATCAGGTGCTGAGTCATCATCACCCACCCAATATCCTGGGAATCCTGAACCACAATGGTGGATGATGAGAAGCAGAGCAGGAACAGAGAGAGAGAGAGAGAGGGAAAAGGGGGGTGGGAGAAAGAGAGAGAGAAAGAAGGAGAGAGACGGGAGAGGGAGAGAGAAGGGAAAAAGAGAGAGGGGGAGGAGGAGAGAGAGAAGGAAGGAGAGAAAGAGGGAGAGGGAGAAAGGAGAGAGGGAAAGAGAGATGGAGAGAGAAGGAATGAGAGAGAAGAGAGAGGGAGAGAGAGGAGAGAGAGGAAGAGGGAGAGAGAGAAGGAAGAAGAGAGAAGGGAGAGAGAGAGAATGAGAGGGAGAGAGAGAGAAGGAGAGAGGGACAGAGGGAGATGGAGACAGGGAAGGAGGGAGAGGGACAGAGAAAGGGAGAGAAAGGTGAGGAGAGGGAGAGAGACAGCCAGGAGGCACAAGCTCCAAAAAAAATAGCAGGAGGGGAAATACTTATATTTTGAAATGTGCTCATTTTTCTTTGTTTTGCTTTTCTATCTTGATGAAAATTATGTTTTTTTTTTAACCCTAGATACAGAATAGAACAGTCTTCTATCAGCTTTCAAAATTTCAGCAGTCCTGTCATATTTCTGACTGTTACAAAATGCTCCCCACCCGCCCTAGGAATCAGATGAAGTAGGGGAAGGTTGGTGCTTTGGACTGGAGGCCCAGGGGCTTCCTATCCTGACGTGAAGACAAGGGAGGGTCGGAGGTTGGAGTCACAGGCACAAAGCCCCAGGTTCTGATGAGCTCCCCAGAACTGGGATCAAGTATGAATGCTGGCAGGGCCTGGGTGATCCAAAGCCCAGAGAGGGTTAGTTTCTAGCTCCAGGCCACACAGCACACCACAGCACAGAACTCAGTTGTCCTGGTTCTCAGTCACAAGCAGGGTAGGGAGACTGGCCAGCTGAGAGGAACCCGGCCCAAAGGAGCACCAAGGCAGGGTGGAAGGGACAGGGGCAGGCGGGGTTGGGGGGGGGGTTGCTCAGAGAAAAAGGGCCTCACATCTAGGAAGGCATGCGGGGGATTAGAGGTTCCTATCAGCATTGGGACTGAAG